GGGGGGAGGGGTGGGGGAGGGGTGGGGTAGGATTAGCTCAGTGAGCCTGGAGGAGGGAAAGTAGGAGATGAGAGGGGGAGGGGATGATTATGAGAAGATTGGCTTCTCTTTCTGTCCAAGATGAGGAGACTCAAAGGGTTTGATTAGAGGAGGGATGTGATCTGACTTTGTTTTTAAAAGATCACTCGGCTTTCTTCTCATACGTGTGAAGACAAAACCTCCAGGTGTGTCAACGCAACCACCTTCCTCGTGCCCTCCCCACCAGCCCAACATCCCCTGGGGGTAACTGAGAGAGCCCTCAGTGAACGAGAGAGAGAACTAGGACTAGAATCTGGTCTGGAGACGCCCGGGTGGCTCCCTGTGCACTGTCCTGAGGGATTTCAGAAAACACATTCTGTTTCCTTAAAAAAAAATTTTTGTTTCTTATCTGTGTTGCTTTATCACCCTATCAACTCCCCGTGTTTTACCAACAATAACCATGAAATTGATGAGACTTGCTTCTGTTTGGAAAAGAGAAGTGTGTGTGTGTGTGTGTGTGTGTGTGTGTGTACATACACACAGGCACATGCATCTGTGACCCTGTACGCCTCTGCATTTCTATTTGCATAGTCGTTGGCCTGTGGTCTGTGGGTGTACACAGCTGTGTATGTGTCTACATGTCTGTGAACACATCAGTGTGGTGTATAGCTCCCCATCTTGCACACGATGAAGTCCAGAATTCTTATAAGGGCCCCAAAGTTCTAACCCTGGCTACCTTTGCATACTTGTTTTCTACCACCCACCCCCAGGCTCCATTCCAGCCAGGCTGACTCCCATGCTGTCAATGAAGTACACTTAGCACAGTCCTGCCCCAGGGCCTTTGCAATGGCTGCTCCCTCTACATGAAATGCTCTTCCCCAGATGCCTGCACGGCCCATTCATCTCTTCACTCAGCCTCCGCTCACCTCTTGCCATAGCATCCTGGCCTTCCCAGGTCACTTGATCACTCTCCACCCCCAACCCCATTCTCTATAACACTCATGGCCACCTGGCACACCGTATTTGTGTTTACATATTTGTTTTTTATCTGCCCCTGCCCCAACAGAATGTGAGTTCCATGAGGGCTGGAACCTTGTCTCATTCCTTGATTTAGCCTCTTGCCCCGCACCCCCACCCCAATATTGTCTGATACACAGTGGGCTCCTAACAGATATTTGTTAAGTGAAAGAACAAATATCTCTCACCGAAACCTGCAGTGTTTGCAGGTCTGCATGTGCACATTTGTATGCATCTGCCCTGGCACCTGCATGCGCACATGTGTGTGGAGATTTTCATACATATGTCTATCCATCTGTGTGTCAGGGTGTCTGCCTGAGTTTGTGTGTGTCTTAATATGCCTCTGGCATGTCTGGTATGTATGTGTTTGTCTACTGGGGTATAGAACAGACAGCAGGGAAATCAGCAAAGGAAAAAGAAGCTTTTGTAAGCTTTGGGGCAAGGCAGCTTTGGGCACTTAAGAAAACTGCTTGCCCGTTTGCCAGAAAGACTGAGATTCTGAATAGCCAGGGTGTTGGGGACCTGATGAGTGGATGAATTAGTATCAGCTATTAATAATAACAAGTACTTACAGCAAGAATAACGATAACAGCGATAATAAATAGCTGGCATGCTGGTTAACACCCAGGCTTTGGAGCCCTGCATCCCACGTTCGAATCCAGACCTTACCACTTAGTAGCCGGGTGACTTTGAGCGAGTTAACTCCTTTAGAGGAGTGAGTTCGGCCACCCACGCGCAGACACACCCACACCCAGGCCGCTGACCCCAGCAAACTGTGACAGGCGAGAGCTGCGCGGCCTCTTTCTGCTGTCCCACCCCCGAGCTCCCAGAGGGCAGCACGTGTCCGCCAGCGGCCCCGCACGCATGCGCGGACCAGGCAGATAGGCGTGGCCACGGGGTAATGCGGACAAGCGGACGCATGCGGGGGGCGTGGCTGCGCCTGCGCAGACTGCCTGTTATGGCGGTCCCCGGAGTCCCGCGATAAAGTTGTCGGGTGAGACTCCCGGCTGAGGCCCGCGGCGGGTAAGTCCCTGGGAGAGGCGGCAGGACGGGGTATGGTCAGGGGGACGCCTGGCTTTGAAATCCGTACTCCCACGGACCTGAAGCCCAAGCCCCTAAGGCCCGACCGCACTCTCAGCCTCAGTTTCCCCTTCTAAACAAGGATATTGGGGGAAGTTCATGTCCTCACCTGCGTTTCCGTACGGGATCCAGGCAGCCTCCCTCACCTTCGGATTAGGAAGGGAGGGCCATGTCCGAGCTGTGACTGCCTTTTGAGAGGCAGTACTTAACCCATAAGAGTGAGGTCAGGCAGGTGGCAGCCCCTCACTCCGACTTTTCCCCATATCCCCGGACCTTGGTTCCTGCAGCTTCCTAGTGGCACCTAGCAGAGAGCAAGACTTCAACAAGGGGAATTATTCCAATTCCCTGATCCCAGTAAACTGCTTTTAGGGAAACCCCGACTGGGAACCTATAGGAGAGGAAGGAGGACAGCGTGTGAATCTGGCCCCCACAGCCTTAGAAGAGCCAAGACCGCCTGTCAGCTCTTGCTGCAGGAATGAACCTGCAGCCTTAAGTGGGGTGGGTGGTAAGGTCCCATCTGCAGTGTGGTCTCCTTCCTCATCTCTGCCCAGTGAGGAGAGGAGCCGGAAGCCCATCCAGCCCCAGCATTTCCAGACGGAGACTCTGAGACAGCTATTTTTAACTGGAGAAACTGACCATTGCCTTTTTCTATCTTCTTAGCATTCCCTTAATAATAGTAATTATGTTGTTATAATGTTAATACTTGTTACCGATTGAACGTTTAATGTGTTCTGAGCCCTGAAAGTGAACATTGTCTCAGTTACTCCTCACACAGGCCCTGAGAAGTGAAGTGATTTTCCCAAGGTCACATAGCTAAGAGATGGGAGACGGGTTGACCCTTGGTCTGCCCAGCTTCAAAGCCCATCAGACTGCTGCTGTTTGATGCTTTTTGATGCAGTGGAACATTTGGTTGGAGGGAGATCCTTCCTATTTTTGACCACTTTGCCTCAGACATGATTTTCTAAATTTTAGTTATTGCTGTGTCACCTTCATAATTTTTCCATATCAGTATATCTCCTGCACAGTGATCCTCTTGTTTTTCCTTTAAATCCACTCACTTTTAAAATTTAATTTGAAAGCTTTAAAACAGGAAATGATATGTGGGTAGATGGTGTCAGTTTCTAGAATAAAAAATACTAAAGGAGGCTGGCTGGTTAGCTTAGTTGGTTAGAGTGTGGTACTGATAACACACCAAGGTCCAGGGTTCAATCCCTGTACCAGCCAGCACCAAAAAAAGAAAAAATTGAAAAGACTAAAGGGCCATAGCAACTAAATGCAAAGCATAAATTGTGATTGGGTTCTGGTTTGGGAAAAAATAGTTATGAAAACAGTCGGGAGACAGATGGAGAAAATTGACTATAGACTGGGGCTTAGCTGATATTAGAGAATCATGGATTATCTTAGGACTGCCAAAGTTCACGTGGGTATATAGGAAAATGTTCTTAGGAGACAGACACTAAAGAAAAATTTAGGGGTAAAGTGGGATGTCTGCAGTGTACTCTCAGAGGGGTCAAAGGGAAAAAATCAGATAGTTGGGTAGTTGGTAGATAGATAGGGTGAGTACATAAGGCAAAATGTTGATGGTCATTGAATCTAAGCAGTAGGTATATGGCTGTTTATTACGCTATTCACCCTCTTGTCTGTTGGGAAATTTTTATAATAAAAATATGGAATAAATAAAAAGAGGAAGGAAATTTTATTTATCACTGTAAGTGGGAATTCAGATCCCTTGCTGTAAATAAAAGTTTGCTATGAAAATGAATACAGTACAGACAAAAGAACAATTAAATTCTAACTGGATTGTTTTCCCTTGCTAAGGCTCTGAGACTTTCTCCTTAGGAAAAATCAAGAGGAAATTGAAAAAGGGAAGCACTTTCTCGCAGGTGGTGCAAAGCTATTGGCCACCTGGTGGGGTGTGGCTACACTGTTCCCCTCTGGGAGCTGCCATCCTGAAAACATGTTATTGCCTCTCAGGTGCTCCTGTCCCAGAATTAATGTGGAACCTGGGCCATGGTACAGTTGGCTTCTGCCCCAGCCATGAACGAGGTCACTTTCAGAAGCGACACCGTGCTGTCGGATGTGCACCTTTACACCCCGAACCAGAGACACCTCATGGTGCGGCTGAATGGTGTGGGGCAGCCTGGTAAGGTCCTGGGCCTGGGCGGAGCTGCCCAGTACCCTGCAGATCCCATTCATTTTCTGCTTTTTCTTACTGTATTCATCTTTTTGCAGAAAAGACTGGATTATTTAACTGTTGTTCTCACACCACTTAAGTGCCCTTCTTTCACTGAGCAGACTCCTGTGCTTTCCTGAGCACCTACTGTGTGCCGGGCCCAGGACCCAGTGCTGGGACCACTGTAGTGAACAAGCCAAGCTCTGCCCACAGCAAGCCCACAGTCCAGAGGGGAGACAGGACTGGTGCTCCCTTTCTCCATGGCTGTCCATCCCCACGGCCCCTACCCCAGTCAGCCACTGCCATCGCTTGCTTGGCTGCCTCTCTCCCTGGGGCTCCCTGGCTTGTCTCCTGCACACCCTCCCCTCCTCATCTCTCTGGCAGCCAAGGGGGTCTTTTGGAAATGTAGATCAAATCACAGCACTCCCCTGATTTAGACCCTCCAGTGGCTTCCCACTGCTCTCAGAGTAACACCCGGACTCCTCACCTTGGCCTCCAAGGTTTCACCCAACCCGGCCTCTGCCTGTGTGTTTACCCTTAATGTCACTTTCCCTCTTCCTCACTCCTCTACGGCCACTTTCAACCCCTTTTTATCCCTCAAACACTATACGCGCTTCCCTCCCTCAGCACCCAGAACATTCTTCCTTCCACGCCCTGGCTCCTCAAGTGTCATCTCCTCAGACAGGCCCTCCCTGGCCACTCTCCCTAACGCTGATTACCCTGGATTAGCTTGTTGTTCTGGTGTGATTATTTATAACCCCCCTTTTCCTCCTGTTCCAATATAAATAGTACAATACATTAGGGGTCTGTAAACTACAGCCTGTGGGGCCACATCTGGCCTGCAGCTATATTTTGTAAATAAAGTTTTATGGAAACACAGCCATGCCCATTCATTTGTATGTTTTTGCAGCAGCTTTTGTGCTGCCATGGCTGAGTTAAATAATTACAACAGAAATCTCATTGCCCACAAAAGTTAAAATATTTGCTGTATAACCTGTTTACAGAAGAAGTGTGTGGATCCCTGTATGCTATGGTTTCCATGTCTGTGTCACACAGAATATAATAGTTTTACTGTATTTATAGCAGTTAACACATGAATTGTAATTATCTTGTTTACTTGTTTAATGTTTGCTCCTCCCAACCTGTAAAGATTTCACATTCTGCTTTGTATCCCCAGCACCTAGCATGGTACTCAGCACACAGCCTATTTTCAATGATTGATTGCTGAATAAATGAGTGAAGTGCTTCAAAAGTTGTCTTAATCCCAGGATGCTCTAGGAGCCTAGAGGAGAGGCACCAAATCCAGCCATGGAGAAGACACCTGAGTTCAGTCCTAAAAACTGAGAAGACTCCATGCAGACAAAGAAGGGAAAGAAAGGCATCCCAGGCAGAAGGAACAGCCTGTGCAGAAGGCTGGAGGCAGGCGCTGTAGTCAGGCCCTTCCTGTCGAGGCCCTGTCCATAGTGTTCACAGTTCCATTTTCACTTGGAGAAAGTGGAGAACAGTGAGCCCCACCTCATGCAAAGTAGGGGTGAAGGGAACAGAAGGGAAGAGAAAGGACTGGAAACGTAGGTATTGGGTACCAATTCTGAACTAGTTCTGCAAATGAGGAAACTGAAGTTCAAAGCAGATAAGTGGCTTGCCTGGGGTCAGACAACTGGGGGGTAGACGAAGGGCTCAAGGACAGTGCTATTCACTCTGAGGTTTTTGCACCTGCTATCTCTGGCTCACCTCTCCTGGCACACACTTATTGAAACCTGTCCCAGTGACTTTCTGGCCACCAAATGGCAAGGGACACTTCATGTCCTTGTCCTGTCCTCTAGACCTTAAGAGGTGGAACAGTGTAGTGAGAAGGGCATCAGCTTAGGAGTCGAGCAGACTGAGTTTGAATACTACCTCAGCCTAGCCACATACAATGCTGTGTGGCCTTGGTCAGTTCACTTAACCTCGCTAAGCATCAGTTTCCACGTCTGTAAGATGGAGTTGATAATACTGTCTTCATAGCAATTGTGAGGATTAAATGAGATGACATTGGCCAAGTGCCTACATCGTAGATGCTCACAAAATGGTGGCTGCTCTTGGTGGTGGTGGTTGCTGCTTTGGTGGCCCCAGCCACCTAGCTGGTGGTCACAGCTGAATCAAGTGGGCCTTTTCTGCTGCTGTTAGTATATCTCCACCTGGCCTTTAAAAGGCTTTTCAGTTGGTATCAAATTTTCTCAAAAAAGGGAAGAAAAAAAGAAAGGACACCTGGAAATACTCTCACTTTGTGACTTGTCTTGCCTCTCAGTTTTCCTGTCCCAATTCAAGCTTCTGTGGAGCCAGGAATCTTGGACAGACTCGGGGGCTGAGAGTGGCGATCACAAAGATGTTCACACAGAGGAGACTCTTCCCACCAGGACAGGCAGCAGAGGATTACCTCCAAGAAGTGACCACAGTGATGAGGGTTCCTCCCTCCAGGCCGGGGCTGACACTGCTGGCCAGGAAGAGGCAGGAACTCAGCTGGATGAGGATGGGGATCTGGATGTGGTGAGAAGACCACAGGCCACCTCTTATCCCAACCCAGCGAGTCCTCCAAGAGACAAGGTACATCCCATGATTCTAACACAGGAAGAAGACATCATGGGAGATGAAGCACAAGACAGCAGCCCCCACGATGTCATCAAAATAGGTAAATAAAGGTCTGGCTCATCTGCCACCGAGGCAACTCCACAGTATCAGTCAGGGCACAAGAATGTTCTGAGCGTTGGCTCTGTGTTCCAGCCCAAGCCAGGTATTACAGGCAAGATAGGTTATCAGAACCAGCTCGGGCAAAGCTAGGAGCAAGTGGTGCCACCACCAGCAGGAAGAGCTTTCGAAAGACACAGGTCACTCTCCTGCTCAGGACTCCTCAGTAGCTCCCCATTGCCCTCAGGATCGAGTCCTAGTGACTCAGCTTACAAAGCCCTGTGTGACAAGGCCTCCGCTCCCCTCTCCTGCCTCAGCTCACACCATCACCAACCCTCACACCCTTTATCCTGTGCTTTCTCATCTGTTGGCCTCTCTCATGCTGTGCGTCCTCCCTGGAGTGCCTGCCCCCGGCCTCTGCTTTCTTAGCACGTTCCTGATTGTCGTACAAGTCTAAGCTTAGCCATCACCAGGAAGCCTCTCTGCTGCTGCCTCCGCATCCCTGTTCTGCTCTAACTTGGTGTGCTGGGGGTGCAGATCAGGGTAGAATTTGTGGAAGACTTGGCCGGGCTGGACTGGCAACAGGGAGCCATGGGAGACTCTAGAGCTGCAGCTTGGCAGATGGAGAGTGATGTAGGTGCAAACTTAATCTGGAGGAGGGTTGTGAGCTAATCAGACGGGCTGGGAGCTGGGAGCTAGAGGCCAGGTGGGAAAGGGCAGATAGGGAAGTGGCAAGAAAAGTGGGGCAGAAAAGGAGTTTCAGCAGCCACTCAGCAGCAGAATCAAGAGCAGGGCTGTGGACCTAAAGCCGCAGGAGGACTCTCCACCCCCACCTTCCCTCCAAGCATGCACCAAGCCTTCAGCCTGGGAGCCTCTGCCCCAAGCTTTTTAAACAGTGTCCCTGGGCACCCTTTTGGGTTCTGCCCCACTTGAGAAGGAACATCTCCCTTTGGGATGGGGCCACTGAGGAGCTGTCACATAAACAGCAGATGATCTTACAGGGAACCCTACATCTGCCACTTTCTAGTTCCATGACCTGCAGAGCCTGCTGTGCCTCTCCCAGCCTCATTTCCCTCATCTATCAGATAATTCTTGAACTTGTGTCACTGAGAGGTTTCGAATGAGAAAGTATTTAGCACAGTGCCTGGCATGGTGAAGGTGCATTTTACATTAACTTTTACAAATGGTAATGCTGAGCCTCAGTGTCTTCATCTGTAACATGGGGATGATCCAGATCAAGTAAGGTCTCAATGGCACCCAGCCCTGGGCCTGGCTCAGAAGGTGTCCATCCAGTAAATGTTCATTCAGTGAAGGAACTCAGCCATTGGGTGGTTTGGTGGATATTTCCATTCCAGTTTCAAACCAGGCGACTACATGTTAGGCCATAACAATCCGAAGTTCTTTTGAAAGGAGCATATCTTATTGAAAGTGACTTCCAAACCACAGTATCAAATCCACCAAAGATGCTGGTGGGCAGTGCCTTAGTCACTTTTTTATTCAGGGCTCAGATTCTCAGTCTGCACATAGGACAGAAATCTTTGGTCAAATTTATCCTGGAGAAACCCTCAGAGCAGTGGCCCAGGTCTCCAGTAGGATCACACATAGCCAGTTTCTCTCCTGGCTTGGGGACAGACAGAGCAGTTGGCTTATGTTCTGGACCCCTGTTGTATGAATAGCATAAATCTTTAAACATGGCAGCTCCCCCGGCACAATGAGATGCTCATGCTCTGAGAGCTCGCAGGAACCAAAAAGAAACTAGGAAAGTGCTGGCTGCCCCACCCACCTCCTGGGGCAGACCTCAGGGAGGGGGCATGGGGTAGATCACCCATACCACTCACAACCCTGTCATCCTCCAACCTCTGCCCTCCCTTGGTCCCCCATCCCTGCCGCTTTTCTCCTTTTTTTCTGTGTGTGAACATGTGGTTTGAATTGTGCGAGTTTGATAAGCATGTGAAGCTGCCCTACTGTGTGTGTTGGTGTGTGTGTTCCTTTGACAGCTGTTACCATCTCACTTAAAAATACTAGAGCAAGTGCTATTTAACAGCAAAAATGTTTTGTACTATTCCTTTTTCTCTTTCATATTTCCATTCCCTTCCCCCCAATCACTAGAGTTTTATCCTAATACAAGTATATTTTGTGCTTGAGAATACTTATCATACTTTTCTTTACCTTTTTTTTTTGCAAGCTGGCAGGTATGGGGATCTGAACCCTTGACCTTAATGTTATCAGCACCACACTCTAACCAAGTGAGCTACCCAGCCAGTCCCTCTTTAGCCTTTTAAAAAGATTATAAATTCAAACTTAATTTGTTAACTTCTAGTGTGGTTCTAAGTGTAAGAAAATATTTTGGAATGAGCTGTGATGATTATTAGCATATAAATACATTATGATGGTAAAGTTGTAGTCAGTGAACACAAAAATGTTTAATGTTATGCACATGTGTTTAAATTAGGTTGGATTGGGACCTGATGTGACCCAGTGTTCGAGCTGGGGAGCAGCTATATCCAGTTATCTGAAAGAGAGTGAGCCACTGCGGCTGGTCTCTGAGTGTTGCTCAGAGCCCCCTTCCCAAGTGGCAGCATGGCCTGCATTTCTGCTTCTTTTCAGAATGCCTAACTCCAGCACCCATGAGACAGGATGGCAGGTTGCCACATACCCCCTGTCTTGTCTTGTGGTTTTCTGTCCATCCCCATCTTCACAGTGGGCATTTCTCTTTTGGTTTCCATCCTGTCTAGAACACACCATGGCCACACCCCTGGAGGATGTTGGCAAGCAGGTGGGTAGTTCTCATCCACTTCCCGTGGTCTTGAAGGGTCTCTGCAGAGCCTCATATCACCTGCTGTTTCTTGTCATCTCCCCTCCAGGTGTGGCGGGGTGCCCTGCTCTTGGCGGACTACATCCTGTTCCGACGGGACCTCTTCCAAGGGTGCACTGCACTGGAGCTCGGGGCGGGCACGGGACTCACCAGCATTGTTGCAGCCACCATGGCACGGACTGTTTACTGTACAGGTAACAGTGTGACATCTCAGGCTGAGGGCGATAGTCAGTTACCTTCACAGAGCATGTGCTGACCATATAGACACTGGAAATTGGACGTTGGCTGTTGTTGATTTTGCTGTCCTGTTCGCCCTGGTCTTCTCCACCTTCCATTTTTTTCCTCTGTAACCTCAGAATGACCCAGCATCGCCCACAGGTATAAGTTCATTGAGCTTCAGAAGGTGTTTGGTGCCTCTGCTAGAATCTCTGCTCACACCCGTAAGAAAGAGCAAATATCTCAGAAAACTATGAGGAATGTGCCCTTTTAAAAGGCTTTGAAAACAAGTCATTTCCTGATGATAGCAGTCTTCTACTCTTCGTGGAAGATTTGTAAAACTGCAAATAAAAATTACTCATATTTTACAATCCCTAGATGCATTCAACAGTATGCAGTTTATTGAGCACCTACTATGTGCAGGACACAGTTTTAGATATGGGATATCCAGCAGCAAGTAAAACAGACCAAGTCACTGCCTTCAGGGTGCTTATGTTTTAGAATCTCTATTTTAACTGCTCATATCTTTCTTTTGTTAAACAATCTTTTTCCTTTTCATTTGTGTATACATACGCCCAAACAATAGCTGAAAGCAAACTATATGTGCAGTGCTGCATCCTGCCAAAAATGTTGAAAAATATTTTTTTCAAGAGCATTTGTTTTTGTCATTAAAAATTATAAATATGGCTTATAATGACCAGGCTATTTTCATCTTTATTTTAAACCCTCCTCCTATTGCTGGGCATTTTGCTTGTTCCCATGAGTATTTTGCATTTGTCAGTTACACTGTGATGAACAACTTCATACGTCATTGATGATCCTTAGACTAGATTCCGAGAAGTGGGTGACTTTTCTTAAACTTTTGATGCATATTGCCAACTGATTTCTTTTTAAATTTTTGAATTTGAAATAATTCTGGACTCACAAAGAAGTTGCTAAAGTAATCCAGAAAGTGCAATATGCCCTTCATCCAGCTCCCCCCAGTGATCAAAACCAGCCAATTGAGGGCCGGCCTGTGGCTCACTCGGGAGAGTACAGTGCTGATAACACCAAGGCCATGGGTTCGGATCCTATATAGGGATGGCCGGTTCGCTCACTGGCTGAGCGTGGTGCTGACAACACCAAGCCAAGGGTTAAGATCCCCTTCCCAGTCATCTTTTCAAAAAAAACAAAGAAAACAGCCAATTGAGATGAATACAGTTTATGAGAGAGTAGTAGTCTCAAAAAATGAGCATTGTTATATTTTAAATCTTTAATATCTGCTAGACATAAAGAGGTATCTGCTGATGTGGTTTGCATTTTCTTGCTCCCTAGTAGATGTTTTCATGGCACAGATTTTTGCTTCTGAAACAGGATAGAGAAATCCCAGGATTACCTGTCATTTGGTTATAGTTTACAAATATGCCGAGTGAACCACCGGTCAGAAGTCTGTAGCGTGGCCATCCTGTTTGCTGCTCCTTAACAATTGCATGTAAATTGCCAGTAAGCACTTCTCAGAGTCAAGCCATAAAAAAACACCCAAGAGCTTTGCTCAGTGCCTACTGCCTAGTAGTAGGATATAATCAAGCCGTCTTATCCTTAGAGAAATTTACCAGCATGGAGAAGAAGAGAGCTCGAATTTATTGAGATAGCATGTTACAGTCAGCAAACACCCTTTCACATTCATCAGCACCTGGTTGTAACCTCACAGTGACCCTGGACGCTAGCCAGGGAGCCTGTTACCATCCTCCTTATCCAAATGGGCAGACTGATACTACGTTTAAATGGCTAGCCCAAGGTCATACACACAGCACTGATGAGAACCGAAACCCCTGACCCACACCTCCTGATTTGTAGTGTGGCGCACCTTCATCATGTGAGTGGTTTTCAGATCACAGCACATCCCACGGAGCAGAGTTCCATGAGCTCTGTCGGGGGCCAGTAAAGGGACAATGGGCACAGCAGCCCCCAGGGCTCTGAGTTCACTACTCAGCCAGATCTGTTCCTCTCTTACCTGTTTTATACATTAGACTCTCACATAAGGTCTCTTGACAAAAACTGTCATAATGGTTTAAAAACTGCTGAATCAAACTAAAAAGTTTCTGCACAGCAAAAGAAACAATTAACAGAGCTAAAAGACAGCCAACAGAGTGGGAGAAAATATTTGCAAAATACACATCTGACAAAGGACTAATATCCAGAATATATAAAGAACTCAAACATCTTTACAAGAAAAAAACAAGCAACCCAATCAAAAAATGGGCAAAAGAGCTAAGTAAGCATTTCTCTAAAGAAGATATGCAAATGGCCAACAGTCATATAGAGTTCCATGAGCTCTGTCGGGGGCCAGTAAAGGGACAATAGAGTTCCATGAGCTCTGTCGGGGGCCAGTAAAGGGACAATAGAGTTCCATGAGCTCTGTCGGGGGCCAGTAAAGGGACAATAGAGTTCCATGAGCTCTGTCGGGGGCCAGTAAAGGGACAATAGAGTTCCATGAGCTCTGTCGGGGGCCAGTAAAGGGACAATAGAGTTCCATGAGCTCTGTCGGGGGCCAGTAAAGGGACAATAGAGTTCCATGAGCTCTGTCGGGGGCCAGTAAAGGGACAATGTGGGGAAGAAGATATAACAACTATACTTTTTTTTGTAGTTGTTACAACAAACAAACGGAAAGGACATTCTTGGGGGGGAGGGGAGAGAGGGAGGAGGGCGGGAAGTGTCGGTGGTGGGCCATAATAATCATATATATTGTATATTGACAAAAGAAAAAATTAAAAAAAAAAAAAAAAAAAAAAAAAAAAAAAAAAAAACTGCTGAACCAGTCATGTGCTATCAGACATACATCATCAATATTCTCTTTACCTGGTTTTCCAAGAGAAGGGATAGGTCAGTCCCTTTAGCAAACATCCTTGGGGTACAGATGGTCTGGTCCTCAGGAGTTTGCAATGGGTGGGGTAGAGATGTCCACACCTTCAGTGGGCCAAACAAATGTCATCCACAAGACATTCTGTACCTTGCACACATACATTCTCCTAGTGGAAAATGAATTTTGGGCACAGCACTGCCACTGAGGACTCACTGTCTGCTGAAATGATGAGAAATCCCACCTCATGAGGGCAGCCAGGCAGCTTAGAGGGAGATGCTGGTGGCAGTGGACAGTGAATCATGCCTGGGAGAGCTTGCCTGGCCTGATTGAATCTGCTCTGCAGCCCCATTAATCATGTTGCAGCACTTGACCCCAGTCGGCTTTCCCAGGGTGTCAAAGAGCAAGCCTAGATTTGAAGTTAGAAAAACTTGGACTCACATCCCAGCTCTTGATCTTACTTGTTATGTGACTTTGCTCAAGTCACTTAATCTGTGAAATGGGGATATCGGTTGCTGGAGTTGTTATAAACATTGAAAGGGTGAGCTACATGCGTTTTTTATAAACTCAGGCAATGTTGGGAGCTCTCACCCCTTCCCTCTGCTTTTCACAGAGTCTGTCCCCACCAGAATGTGAATCTCTTATTTAGGGGAAAAAAATAATTAAATAGAGCCTTAAGGTGAACATATTTAATCTATGCAGTAAAACACACAGGAGAAGCCTTTCTTTAGTTTCTGCAGCTATGCCATTGGTATCTGCTCTCTCCAGGCAAAAACGGGGAGGTGAACATGTCGTCATGGTCTGCACTTTATGGCTTGCCCTTCTGTCATTGCAGATGTTGGTGCAGATCTCCTGGCCATGTGCCAGCGAAATGTTGCCCTCAACAGCCACCTGGCTGCTGCTGAAGGTGAGGCTCAAAGGGCCTTCTCCCCGGGAGGGAGGTTTCCCTGTTCGACTGGTGACATTGGGAGGTGGGTGCCACCTGCTTCCCTGTGCACAGGGTGAATGGGGAGCTCAACCTTTACATTGTCTGCCTTTACGTAGCCTCCTGTGCACAGGCAATATGTCCTTGGGTCGCCTCCTCCTTCCCATGTCTGCCACCACTTTCTGATTCAGCTCCCTCTCGCTGGCACATTGGCATTTGCACCCCTCCCGGTCTCCCCTGCTCCTTGTTTGACCTTTCTAAGATGCAGGCTTGACCTCTTCACTCCCTTCTGAAAACCTTCCAGGGGCTCCATACCTGCAGGGTAAAGCCTGAGCTCCTCCTTGAGTCCCCAGACCTCCCTGCCCTGGCCCCTGACAGTCCTGCTGGCCAGCCCTGCATCCAGTGAGCCAAGGACTCATTTCACAGACTTCCCTCTGCCCGGGATGTGCCTCATCCACATCTGCCTGATCATCGGATCTCTACGGCCTGCAGGAATGAGCTTACATGATAGATGACAGCAGTGGTCTCCTAATGGGACTGTCTGTCCAGACCCTGAGCAGCCTGAGGGGGCTTTTCTAGAGTCGGATCACTTGGCCCTACTGGCTGCAGGCCCTTCAGAGGCTTCCCACTGCTCCTGGCATAAGGTCCGGACTCCTCTGCTTGTCCCATCTTCTGCAGCACGTGCCCCCTCCTCATCCACTGCCCAGCTCCATCCACCCCCAGCCTGGCCTTCCTTGAGGCCCCTCCCCTTGCTGTTCCCTCTGCCAGGAGTGCTCTGCCCCTTCCTCCTCCTCACCAGCCCTCGTCCCCTCCCAAGCTCCAGACAGACACTAGTGACACCTCGAACCATTGCATTTGCACATCTGCCTGTGTGACTTCGTGACTGGTGTCTGTTGTCCCCACGAGATTACAGGCTCTACGGAGGCAGGGACTCTGGGTTTGATCACCACTGTCACAGTGTTTGTTGAATGCCCAGCATACAGCTGGCAGTCACCAAAAATTGGAAGGAAGGGGCGAGCCTGCTGTTTGAAGCCTTCTCTGACATAAGAGTTCTGTTCTCCTGTGCCTTTGACTCATCCTTGTGACGTTACCCTAACCACAGTCTTGCAGTTGTCTATTAAACCACCAGTCTCTCCTGGGGCAGCTGGCCCCCAAGGATGGGGACCGTGTCTGACAAATCTTTATATTCCCTGTGTCTGGCACAGTCGCTGACACTCAGCACTCAAAAAGTGCTGGAAGGATGGATGAATGGAGGGATGGGAAGGGCAGAAGGAGGGCCGGTGGGTAGATGGATAGATGGATGGATGGATGGATGGATGGGAAGGATAGATGGGAAGGAGGGAGAGAGGGAGGAGAACAGAAGGGGGGTGTAGGATGGGTGGATCTTGTTGTATAGTGTAAAAGTATCTTCGTCATTATGGCAAGAGTTTGAAGAGTTCTGTTGTTTTTGTTTTTACAGGTGGTGTACTTAAGGTCAAAGAACTGGACTGGCTGAAGGATGACCTCTGCACAGGTGTGTGTCTTCCTCTGATGTCTGGTTCCTCTGTCATTCCTCAAGGCCCTCGGCTCTGTGGCCTCAACTGAGCAACAGGGTCCCAGCTGCTGCCACAGTCCCACGGGCTCATGGCAAGTGCTCTTTGCTGGCCGATAAGCGACACCTTCATTCCCCAAGCACCCACTGCTGCGTGCTGGGCACTTATGTTCATTTTGTTATTCAGACCTCACAGTGTCACCGTGATGATCCCTGGATTATGAGTGGAGACTGGCACTCAGGTTAAGTGCCTGCCCAGGGTCACATAGCTGGTACATGGCAGAGTCAGGATGTGAACCCAAATCTGTCGGACTCGGGTGCATAGACCACTTCCTGCAAATGGTGGTGCCAGGAAGCCCATGGGATGGGACAGTTTTCTGAATTTCGTATACAAACTACTTCAGACCTGGATGCTTTCTCTTTCTTTGCTTAAAAATTTTTTTTCTTCTTCCTATCAGGTGTCAGACTGGCAGGTGAGGAAAATCATTCCTTGAGTACCTGTCACCTGCCAAGCACTTTGCATACTCTAGGTCCGTTAGGCTTCCAACCAATCCTATGATGGAAGTATTAGGCCCTCTCTATAAGTGTGAAAACTGCACCCCAGAGAGGTGAAGCAACTTTGCTGGGGTCACACAGCATATAAATGGGTCAGGAGTGCCCTGGACGGTGGTGCAGATCACATCTGTTGGGGCTGCTGGCCTAGGCAGCGGGCATGGCTGAGGTTTGCCTGCCCTTCACCAGCCAGGGCAGACCCCTGGTGGAAAGGGCATCTCTTATACTGTGACTCTCCACGTGGGTGGCCGTGGCCCGGAAGCTGGGGCACTGGGATTCAGGTCTGTCTGGCAGTGCCCTTTGTTACCTCCAGCCCTATTTCTTCTCCTGAAGCTTCTTTCAGTCAGTCTTGGTAAGAGCTGGTGGCCAAAGAGCACAAAACATCTTTTCTTTCTTAGATCCTGAGGTCCCCTTCAGTTGGTCAGAAGAGGAGATTTCTGACTTGTACGATCACACCACCGTAGTGTTTGCAGCCGAAGGTAAGAAAATTCTTCCTCATACGTGCCTTTGTCATTATGTGTAGTCATGTGCAGCGTCCTTTCACCTCCACTGAGTTCTCTGCACTTTGGAAGCATCTTTCTAGAACATTGTACCACATTTACATGCAGTTTCAATTCTGAGAACTGTTGCTATTCCGTGGTAATAAGGATCCTCCCTGTAGTGTCTGTGTGGGTCCCTCTGAGAAGCAGATTTCTCTGATACTTGCATGCCCTCCCCTAAGCCTTTTCTCTTCCCGCAGTGTTTTACGACGAGGACTTAACCAATGCGCTGTTTAAAACGCTCTCCCGACTCGCTCTCAGACTGAAAAATGCCTGCACGGCCATCCTGTCGGTGGAGAGGAGGTGAGCTCGGCTCCTGGGGGGTGTGCTGGCGTCCTGAGCAGTAGCCAGACTCACCTTCTAAATGCGTCGTTATCAGCATCATCATTATTATCACTTACTTAGCACCTACTGTGTGCCACACCTGTGCTGGTGCTTTACCTCACTTAATCCACATGCTAACCCAGTGAGCAGGCGCTCCTGGCCCCTTTTTACTGATGAAGAGAGGAGGGCTAAGAGACATCAAGGGCTTGTCCCAGCCACAGCAAGTTAGTGACAGACGGGGACTTGAGTGCAGACTGCGTGCCAGAGCCACAACGCTTGGCCAGCATGCTCTGTGGACAGCCTTTCCTCTTCCTGAACGTTCTCTCTGGGGTGCCATCTGTCCCCTCTGCTCCCCCAGGTCTCTTTCATCTCCCCAGTGCAGGCAGAGCCTCCTCACTTGACAGCCTCTCTGGGATGTTTCCACTTAAATATCCTCAAATATATGGCTTCTTTGATTGAGTGTCCCCCTTGTTATAGCTATAGAGCTAGACATTGTAAATACACTTTTCTCTAATACTTATGATAGTGTCCAACTTTTCTGAGGGCAGAATGGAATACACAGCAAAAACTGGAAAACTGAACATATTTCTTGACCCAGCAGTTCAACATCAGAAACGCACCATGTGGAAACACTCATGGCTGCGTACAAAGCCATGTATACTTGCATGTGCCTTGCCGCCTTATTTAATATACCAATAATGCTAAAGACTTCCTCCCTCTCTCCGTCTTCCTCCATCTCTCCCCCTTTCCCCCTCCCCCTCCCCTCTCTCCCTATCCCTCTCTCTCTCCTCTCTCCTCTCTCCCTCTCCCCACTCTCTGTCCCTCTGTGTCTCTCTCCCTCTCTCTCTCTCTCCCTCCCTCCCTCGAATCTCCCCAACTCCACTGACTTCTGACAATGTTATCTCCATCCTCTGTGTGCTCAGTCTTCCACATCTCCCTCTGCCATTGCCTGCCATTCATTCATTCCACGGATGGTGATGGGGCAACTTCACATGCAGATTCCATGCAGGGCAAAGGCAGGACAGGCAGCAGAAGCCCAGGGAGGCTCGTCCTCAAGTATTGATCTGAGTCTGTCTCTTGCACCAGTTCATAGCTCCCCAGAGGCAGGGACTGTCCTTTTCTTTCTAGCAGTGTCATCGTGGGCACATGACTTCAGCTTTCTGAGCCTCATTTTCCACATCTGTAATGGAGGTGGTAACAAGACTGTGGTACAGATTGGGGAAGGCCCTGCCCCCCAGTGCTGAGCATGCAATAGGGACTCAGCCACAGTTCCCCGATGGGAAATGACATCAGGGAGGCAACGGGAAGCACAGAACTCTTCCAGGTAATGACGGCAGCATGCGTGGGGTGCTTGGTTTGCAGGCTCAACTTCACACTGAGACACCTGGACGTCACGTGTGAAGCCTACGATCACTTCCGCTCCTCCTTGCACGCGCTGGAGAAGCTGGCCGAGGGCAAGATGCACTTCGTGGTGGAGCCCGTGGAGGCCTCGTTCCCGCAACTCTTCGTGTACGAGCGCGTCCAGCAGCTGGTAGGTCTGGCCAGCACAAGGGGCCTACATTTGCTTTGGCCTGAAGCTGCTGAGCCCAGGCCAAGGAGGGGATGAACCCAGCCCTGCAAACACAGAGCCCCACCCCATGCTCCTGCAGAAGCCAGGGCTGCGGTCTTGATGCTTTATTAGTGAAACTTGTGGGGGGATCTACAGCCCGTTCTTAGTAGTCACAATGTCCAGAGGTGGCCCACAGGCAATACATCACCTTCAACTTGATAGCATATTCTCTCCCTGTGGGAAACAGTTCAAACTCCAAAGGAAGCAGCACAAATGGCCAGAGGTTTTTTGGGGAGCAAGAAGTCAGGAAGGGGACTTGGTGGGTGCAGATCTGGATGCAGTGGCCCCAGTGTGGCGGCTGATGGATGCATCTTCACTGTGGAAATATCCTGGCCTCTCAGACTGAACAGGCTTGTCTCATTTCTGCTGGCCCTTGTGACCCAGGTACAGTGAGACCCCATCATATCAGGCCTCAAGGCGATCATTCTAACAGTGAGAGCTAACACTCTCCAGGTGCTGTCTAAGCACCTCTCATCCGCTGTCTCAGTTAATGTCACAACAACAGCCAAGACAGGTTGAGTCCCTCAGACAGGAAAAGGCAGAGCTGAGACTTCATCCTACACATCACTTCCTATTACAGCATTTAAACCCAGCATTGGGAAATCTGAAAAGTCAAAATTACCCTTAAAAATCCCTTAAAATTATCAGGAGCTAGATTCATAGAAGTCCACAGACAGAACTAACTTCTCTCATTCTCTGTGTCTTCTGGCTGTGGCCTCCCTTTCTCTGGGTTTGTGGCAACCCCGCCTTGTTCCGAGGAGGAATTGGGGAGGCTGAGGGGGTAACAAGTAGCACTCTCACCTCCCATCCCATTTCCCAAGCATGCGCAGCGCACAATTTGTGTGGGTTCCCTGTGCCAGGAGGACCTTCCGGTCATTGCTGCACCCACTCTGAGCGCCTCCCTGCCTGTGGGCTCAACCTGTCTCCAAGCAGTTGGCAAGCAGAGGCTGCTCCTGCCAGTGAGGACACTAGGTTGCCACTAAGAACTTGGCCTGTTGTACATTCTCCACCGGCCAGTGCTAAGGGTACCATCCCTTAACAAAGAAAACTAGCTCCCTACAAAGTTCAACAGCCATGGGATATGGTGCTTAAGACCCCCCCAAAGTGGAGAGGTTGTGGTGACCTGCTGCCGTTCTCCTGGTCCCTTTTGATGTGTGACATCTGATGCTGGAACTTGGTCCGTCCAGCTTCTCTGCCACAGTAAGACGGAAAGAACAGCCCAGAGCAACAAAGAAATAGGAGGTAGTGCCCGCGCCTATGCCAGCTTGGGTGTTGCCATGGTTTGCATATCACTTGACCACTTTCTTTGGCTAATTACTTTCCTATGTGAAATTGTGATTGTCCTGTTTGCGTACTTCAGGGACCCTCCTTTCTCTGTTTGCTGCAGGAGCTCTGGAAGATTGTGGCAGAACCAATAATATGACCCGTCACATCGATGAGGCATGACATCTGGACAGTTATTGCGATATATTTCTAATAAAATCAAAAGCTTACCAAAGTAACACACTCGAAATTTTGTCGTTTTAAAAATACAGTTCATCCAACCTAAATGTCCATCAATGGATGATTGGATAAGGAAACTGTGGTATATACACACTGTGGAATACTACTCTGCCATAGAAAAGAATGAAATTCTCCCATTTGCAACAACATGGATGAACCTGGAGAAACTTACATTGAGTGAAATAAGCAAAGCACAGAGGGATAAATACCGCATGTGCTCACTCATATGTGGGAGCTAAGAGAGAAAGGGAGGAAGGAAAGAAAGACCACAGTAGTCCCGTGGTCTTACAGAGGGAGGGAATATTCCTAGGGCTACAAAGTGGAGTTGGGGGGGTAGAGAGGTGGGGAGATAGTTGGGTAGGGACATGGGGTACAAAAGTAATTTCTGGTAATGGATATGCCCTCAGTATGAATCTGGCCCTCACATCATGGGCATGAAGGGTGACAATTAGCTATGCATTTCATGAATATTCATAATAAAAAAATAAAAATACAGTTCATGTACTTTATGTGACGCAGGCTGGTGTTCTGGGGTCTGTGGCCGCCTCCCAGCAGCAGCGACATCATTATCATTCTGGGCTGGGACGCAATTAGTCGCCTGTGTTTCTCAAGCTTCCAGTGCTTGTGCTGGGTGTTTCCAGAGCCGCTTGGTCAAATTGCGCAAATGCTCTCAACTTGGTTCCTCTCAGGTCAGCTACTCTAGCTGTGTACTCACTTGGGGCTGGGGCCGGGAGCCGAGGCTGTGCGGCTAGTTTTTCTGCTCCCCCCTGCCAGTGTTTACAAATGCTTTTCATATCGTTTCCACAATTGTCTAGTAACGTGACCCAGCACAAAAGCCTCATTTTCCTCCAAGGCTGTGAGTGCTCTGTCCCGTCCCTCCAGTGCCAGTGGGGCCCGTGTGGAGGAGTGGACTGCACTGGCAGGTGGCCTTTGTTCTTCATTTTAACCCTTTATAGCCAAGGTCGAGTATGCTTAAAGCAAACACTGTAGCTGCCCTCTTGGGTCACATGTAGTTGACCCAGGGTCCCATGCAGTGATCTGCATTGTAGGTGTTTCCCCTCTTCAGCCTCGGCTTGTTTCCTCCTCCCCTCGGTCTGCATTGTGCATCACAAGTGTGTGTGTCTGTCTGGTTTTCTATTTTTCTATCTGTGCCTCTCTCCTCCCGTCTCCCCCTTCCTGTCGCTCTCTGTGTCCCTCTCCCGCTGTCTCTTGCTCCTTCTCTCTCTGCTTTTCTCCAGTTTGGGTCCCATCTTCCTGCTACTCCTGGCCTTCCCTGTAGCCCTCTCCTCCTGTGTTAACTACCACTGTGCATTCTGTACCAGGACCCCGTGTGGCCCCCACCCCATCTGTCCCTCATAGCTTGTATCTCCTCCTGGCCTCGAGTCCAGCTGTCCCTGCCCATACTCCCTTCTCCCCAGGCACCCAGGTCTGATTCCCAGGCCCATCGTACCCCAGACTGGCTTATCCTGGCACCACGGGCAAGGCATTTGCAAGTCTAAACTCATTTCATCCTCCCAATAAATCTAGGGGGTCAGCAGCCTAGTTATACCCACTCTGCAGTTGAGAAGACTGAGGCTCTAAAAGAAGATCTCCCTGAAGTCAGAGACCTTCTCTTACACATCACTATTGCTGGCATATGGTCTGGCACAGAATAGACCTCAATATACGTTGTTGAATGAATTATTAGGATAAATTACTGATTAGAAAGGTGCTTCCTAATTGTGGGTGATTTTTGCCTCCAGGGGCATTTGGCAATGTCTGGAGACATTTTTGGTTACCACGAGTAGGGGAGACAAGGGTTACCTGTATCTAGGGGCTGAGACCAGGGGTGCTGCTAAGCATCCCATAATGCACAGGACAGCTCCCACAACACAGAATGATCCAGCCCAAAATGTCAGTGGTGCCGAGGTAGAGAAATCCTGACTTGGAAGAAGAGAACCAAGTACTTCAAGAAAGAAAAACGGATCTCAGCTGAATCCCAAGTGCAGAGGATGCAGGAAAATGAGGCTCACCTTGCCCCTCGGGGAGTGGGAAAAAAGCCTACACACATATATTATCTCTAAATCATGAAGACCCTAAATGGCCAAAGTGATCCCTGTTTTACATATGAGAAACCTGAGGTTCAGAGAGGTTAAGCAACTTTCCCAGCATCACGCAGCTGCCAAGGGCACAGCCAGGCATGGAGTCCACATCTCTGTGACTCCTGGGCCTGTGCTCTTCCTACATTCTCACGTGGTCCCCAGTCCAGCAGCAGCTTCTATGGTATCACCTGCACACTTGTTAGAAACAGCATCAGTGGGCTAGCCCATAGCTCACTTGGGAGAGCGTGGTGCTGATAACACCAAGTCAAAGGTTAAGATCTCCTTACCGGTCATCTTTTTAAAAAAAAAACAAAAACACAGCATCAGGCCCAACCCAGGACCAGAGTCAGAATCTGTATTTTGACAAGACCCTGAGTGATCTGTGTGCACAATACTTTGAGAAGCACTGGGAGCTACAGCATAGCCTTTGACCTATTCCTATCTTTTAAGGTTCCTACACAAAAACCATCCCTGATAGGCTCACTGTTATAATAGAACAGCATTCCAGGTCACGACGGGATATATTAATAATGAGTCTTCAAAACAGAACCCCACTAAACAGAGCCCCCAGCTTGCAATACATCAGCACTAATGGTGACGTATTCCTAGCACTCCTGGGGACAAGCTCATAAATGTAATTGGCACCAAGCAATAGAGTTGTCACAGCTTTCACCTGGCACATTAGGGTGAACCACTTTTATGTCTGAGCCACTTGACCTGAAAGCTTCCTCTAAGCGGTGCCCGGAATTAATCTCGATCCACTGTATTTCAAGTATCACCAGGTTCTCATTTCTCACACTTGAAGTGCACGTTTCCCACTATGGTTTATGGCCTTGCTTGAGCCACTGTGAGTCCATGTTTGGCAGCAATATTTCAGAATCATCACACCATCGAGATTATTCTGGTAGGTAATTAACCCAGGCCATTGTACTCTTTCTTTTATTTTTATTTTTTTATTTTTTTGACACATTCTAACATTCCCAGAGAAATATACAGCCTGAGGAGGGGACTGATAGTTCAGCTGTAGCCTGCACAGGAAAGATGTGTCAAAGCCAACAAATAGGGTTCACTGGCCAGTTAGCCACTTGGTTAGAGCATGGAGCTGGTAACACCAAGGTCAAGGGATCAGATCCCCTTACTGGCCAGCTGCCTCGCTTTCTCCCCTGGGTGACTGTATCTTCTGGCAAGATGTAGCTTATGAAGGCCCACCTCCATCCCCACTCCCCCCAGATGAATTCTAATGACTGTCTTCACTTTAACAGTGTTTTTCAAAGCATGGCATGTTGTGATCCCAGTGGTACCTGGGAGGTTTTAAGTGAAAAATTCTTAAAGTTTATCCGCTTAATATGTATGTAGCAGGGTGCTGTTTCCAAGGATTTATTTTCTCCTTCACCCCAGTTCCCTAAATTCTTTTATTTGTACCCTGAGGGCCTTTCTCCCCCTCCCCCGAGGCCTGCAAGGGAAGACCCCAGGCACCAACTGCAGAACCAACCACTGGGATTGCAAAGATTAGGCTCCAGCACAGCCACTGGCCATATGCAGGACAGAAGGATTCAGGCGTGAACTTGCAGAGTAAGATTCTCTGCTGCTGAGAAAACAGCTCTGGGGGCTGGAGAGATGGGAGAGGAGAATGGAGAAGGCATCCCATGGCAGAAGGAAAAGAGAGGGCATGAGAGAGACAAAAGGGGGCTGAACTCATCCTTTTATAAAAAACCCACTCCCACAATAACAGCATTAATCCATTCATGACGACAGAGCCCATCGTGGCCTAATCAACTATTCAAAGTCCCATTCCTTAATGTGGTTACAATGGCAATTGAATTTCAGCATGAGTCTGGGAGGGAGCAAACATTCAAACCATAGCAGAGCCCTTCCCACAGCAGGACAAGGGCGGAAGGCTCCACTTCCGGGAGGATCGATGTCCTTACAAGTCCCCACATAACCTGTTGGAAGTCACCTTTGAGGCTGGTGCAGTGGTTGAATTCACCACTGAGCCCTGTTTTGTGTAACTGGGGGGAGAAAATGTAACTAGTAGTTGCAAACCAGAAACATGGAGGATAGTGTTTGTTGTCTGAGGCTAAATTAATAATTTTTAATGACTATCTAGATACAATATTAAGTAAATAATAATGTGAGTGGGAAGCAGGTGTAGCGAGTATCATGAACGTGGTGACATCAGGGAAGTTTGACAAACACCAACGATAGCTTTGCCCATGGTCTCAGCCTTCCTCCTGTCCCTCTTTGACTAAAAGCAGGAAGACATGTCCCCAATGACACTCAGGTTCCTTTTCTTCTGTGATTTAGAGCTCAAGACAATTTAAATTGTTCCCAAAAAACAGAAGGCAAACGGTGTTTTCCACCTTTTTGAAACTGTAGTGGGTTGAATGGTGGCCCCAAAAAGTCTACATCCACGTCCTAACCCCTGGAAGATGTGAATGTGACCTTATTTGGGAAAAGGATTTTTGCAGGTGTAATTAACTTAAGGATCTCGACATAAAGTCATCCTGGATTTAGGGTGGGCCCTAAATCCAATGACTGATGTCCTTATAAGAGAAAGGAGAAGCTGGTTAGCTCACTTAGGACAGCATGATGCCAGTAATGCCAGGTCAGGGGTTCAGATTCCCATACCAGCCGGCTACAAAAAAAAAGGGAGAAAGAAAGGAGAGGGAGATTTGAGACACACAGGGAAGTCCATGTGAAGGCAGAGGCAGAGTGGAGTGATGCTGCCAAGCAAAGGAGCACCCGCAAAAACTAGAAACTGGGAGAGGCAGGGAAGGATCCCTAGAGCCTTCAGAGGCAGTGGAAACCTGCTGTCACCTTGATTTTGGCTTCTAGAACGGTGAGAGAATAAATTTCTGTTGTGTTAAGCTTCCCAGTTTGTGGTAATCTGTTACAGCAGCAATAGGAAACTCATACAG